GTATTTATTTAAGAATTAAATTATTAATTAATAATCAAATATCCAAAGACTTTAATTTCTTTCCCTATGATTTAAGATTTGCACTGTTAACAGAGGGCCAGTTCTAGGGGTAAGTGTGGTAAGCCTAAAGGATATTCATGAGGGAAAATTTTCAATATTACTTTTGATATTACTTTTAATATAGTTTACATATCTTTAATGCTAGAAAATTCTATTCCCTATGATGCCTAGGTATTATCTTACTAAGTCAAGTTGCAAGTGTAGCAAAGAAGTTTTAAAGCTTCTGCTAGATTGTCATATAGCTTTATGAGGATTTGATGAAAGAAAAACAAGTCTAGGTTAATCAGTTAACAAATATTTATAAAGCGCTTAGCATGAACCAGACACTTGCTATGTGCTGATGGTATAAAACAGGTTAAAAAAAATAACAGTCCCTGTCCTCACAGAGCATACATTCTAACGGAGAATTTATTGAGAATTCTATCTGTTACCTAATATAAATGAGGACATACAAGCTGATTTGTAAATTATATACCCATTGCAAGAAAAGGGGAAAATGAACAGGATAGAGTAAACAAGGGAAGTCTAGGGGGAAAAGAAGTGGTCAGAATGGGAAGAGAGACCCTGGAATATGACAAGCTGGGATCAAATATTTGTGTGCTCTAGGCAAGCTTTGAAAACTGTGTCTCATCACAATGTGGAGATGCATTTTGACATGGAAAGAAAAAAGAATTATAGAGGTAAGGGGAATATAATGAGTACAAACAGTATAATCATTGAATGTGATGCTGCAAAGTATGCTGATTTTTATGATGTAATTTATGTTTTTTTAGTCATTAAAAGAAGAATGGTTGTACTGTAATCATAATTAAATTTGCAATAGTAATTATATGGAAGCAGCTATGATCTTCTTGTTTTGTGGTTGTCATTTCCCTACTTGGAAGTAAATTGTTCTTTTAAGAAACAAAATTCCCTTTATACTTTCCCTGGATAGGGAAATGAGTACAATTTTCAAATCTTACCTAGAGAAAATGAAAGACGTGGCTTGAATCTCTTGTCCTGGTGTATCTCTTCCCTATATGGCTACTTCCCTATACCTCTCTTTCTTACTCTGTTCTAATCATTTTCTCCTTTTCTTGAGTACTGGGGACCAGTGCATTCAGCTGATGCAATTCCCTCATGAACTTTGGAGCATGTGCAGACATTCTGTAACTGGTTCTGGTGAGCTACCCACATGGCAAAGAGGAGACTGAGAGATACAGTAATGCTTAAGTGAGAAGCACAAGAATGTAAAGAGGCAAGGGGCAAGTGAATATGAGCCCCTGTTTTCTTTTCTTTTCTTTTCTTTTCTTTTCTTTTTTTTTTTTTTGCTTCTCTGCATTTGTTCTTTCCAGTTTTAGGTGAAGGAGTTTTGGAGACAAGTATTATCTTGTATACTGCAATAGGTCAGAATGATGAGCCACCAGGGGTTCAGGAGCTGTGTGTGGTCCATGATGGGTTTTGTGGCTAGCCACGCCTCATCCTGTAGGAATAACCTTCAGGACTTTGTCAAAAAGCAAAGCCCTGAGGAGTGACTTTAAGATGTAGCCCAAAAGTAGTTGAGAGAACTTCATGCTGAATTTGGAGTAAACTAGATGGGATCAAAGCTATTTAAAACTACTGTGAGTGTGATCCCTCTTTTCCCAGGGACTGAAATGGCATAAAGGAGATGTGTCACCCACTGGTGTTGGGGAAAATGTTTATAACTCTGTCCTTGATGTGTGTGTGTGTGTGTGTATATATATATATATATATATATATATATATATATATATATATATATATACACAACACACACATACACATATATATACACATATACATATATATACATATATATCACACACACACATATATACATATATGTATGTGTATATATATCACACACACACATATATATATATATATATATGTATGTATATATCCCTTCATAAAAGTTCACTGATGTTATTTGGTTAAATGGAACTGGAATGCTAATCACTAGTAGCTAACACTGGGGGGAACACATCAGAATGGAGGCCATAGCTCTTAGTATTAGAAAAAGATACCCAAGCCCGTGAAGGGATCCCTAATTGGAAGATTCAGCCAACCTAGCTTTTTCAAGGGGTGTGAGTGGGTAAGAGTGCTAGACTTGTTGACCCCTGTGATTTCTCCCAGTTTTAAACATGTATGGTTCTATATAGTTTTTTTTAAACTAACAAGTTTTGCATATCTGGATTGCCATTTTGGTATAATTTTCACAACTTCTTTCAGATAAGGATATCTAGTAATTAGGTTCAATGATAACAATAAAAACAGTAATAATAACATCTTTTCATGGAGTCTTACGAAATCGTTCATACATCTAGTATTTTCAGTTAGGCAGTTTTCATGATATTTTATTTTAGGAAAATTTTTTTAAACCTGATTACAATTCCATGTCTAATATTGGAATGCAAACTATGGAAGATAACATCCTTTTCTGAGATCCCAGATTCAGATTATTTTAAAAAGTCTGTATAATAGATTTGTGGATAGAAAAGTCATAACCTTATTCATATTTATCATGGAATCTAGGCCAGAGTTCAAGTAATAAACCCCAAGGAGAGAACATTACTGCTTAATACCATTTCATCTCTTCTAATAGAGTATGTGATGTCATTTCTATAAGATTCTCTCACACTCCGAACTCTTCTCAGTTGTATCCTAATGACATATGCTAATAATGACTTAAAAAATAACCTAAACATGACCCAATCATAGGACTACCTGCTGCCTAAGCAGCCTCATGAATTTTTATAGGGCCAATAAAGGAGAGAAATCCCTAGAGTCAACAGTAAAATTGTTTCTAGGAGAGATAGGCAGGAAGGAATTCCTCTTTGCAAAATAGTAGAAAGACTAAGATGTGACTTACATTCAACTATGAGTTATAATGGAAAGAACTGGCTTTGAATTCAGAGGATATACATTCAAATTCTTCCTCTCATGATTACTACCTTCATGACCTTGGGAGAGTCACTTAACCTCAAAGGACCTTGAGTTTTTAGATACCTTCTAAGGTCCCTCCCAGCTCTAAAACTCATAATCCTGTCAATGTGAAAAGCTTCTTCACTGAACTCCTATTTCAATACTTCTTATGTATAGATGACCTGGGTCTTTGAAGGTAGTGTCAGAAGTCTGACACATTCAACCAAGTTGTAAAGGGTTGAGTATGGGTCAAGAATTGGACCCAGAGCTGTAACTAGTCATCTCTATAGCTGGCAAACATTATAGACTGCACCTGAAGCAAGCCACAAATACAGAACCCTTATTTCATATATAGGGGAAGAGAGAAGGGGAGGGCTGGACATTGCCTGCAAAGAGGGACAGAGACCCCAGAACACCAGGAGGCAACCTGTAGGGAAAGCTCTCCACCCTACCCCAAGTGGGCCATATTGGTAGCTTCCTACTTTAATTAATCATTCTTGATAACTAGCTGTTAAGGCCAAAAGGGAAGAAACAACTGATATCAAAACCTGATTGGAGGTGGGATGGGGTGGGAATAAGAGTTTGATCTTCACTGTAACTTCCACTCCCTCTACCCTTCAGGTATTTTCCCCCCAGGCTATCACCATAGAAATGACTGCACTTTTCTCCCCTACTTATCTTGAGTTCTAGGTGAATCCAAGTAGATTTTACACTCTCCTTTACCCTCCTATTTCCAGTCTCTTCAACTTTTTACTGCTCACACTTTGCCAAATCCTGACCCCAGATTATGACTGCTTTATAGCCTTTACTCTTATTCATATGCTGCTGAATGGAGATAGAGGAAATCATGAAAATGAAGCCCTGGAGTCTCCTTGGATTATTTTATCTAGTCTCAGTTGGCCTGTAGCAAGGCAATCTTTCTGTTCTTTTCTGATCAATTCACAGTTACACTCTACAGTGGAAGTTGTAGGCCATCTCATCTCTGTTGAAACCTCCCCTGGTACACTACTCTGCTAAGGCCCATACTTCATAATTTATTGAAAAACTGAGACTATGCAGTGGAAGGCTGTTTCCCCTCTTTCTCTTCCTCATTTCATATTACTCAGACGTGTTCCCCCATTATCTCCTCTTTTTTTTGGCCTTCATGAAGAAACGATGCTTCTGTTTGTCAAGGCAAAGGCAGCTAGGTGGTGCAGTGGATTGAGGACTGGGCCTAGATTCAGAAAAAACCTATACAATAACAAATATAAGGGATTCTATCATCATCAAAAAATCTTTAAAGGAATTAATAATATTGATAATATTAATGCTAATTATATATCTACTGTCTTGAGTCCAAAATTCTCCAAAAATTTAATATATTTGATATATAATAGTTGATATGTGTATATGTGTGTCTATACATATGTGTGTGTGTGTGTGTGTGTGTGTGTAAATATATACAAAATTTTATTTTTCAACAACTATGGATTGTACTAGTGGGTACATACTCTTCTCTAGCCTATTCCACCCCTGCCTTCTCTGCTTGGAGTACCACTTCTCCAGTAGTAATCTGGACTCTGAACCCTGGTATCTTGGCTCTAATAGAGCTTTGGTCTTATCTTTCCAGGAGAAGGTTGCCATGACCAGCTCCAGCTGATGGTAACCAGTGCATATCTCCACCCCATTCTGGCTCTCCTTCTTCTTTTCCCATTACATCATCTCCCTGATATAAGGTCAGACACAACAACCTTTTCCATTAGGATGGCAAGTTCCTTGAAGGCAGGGCAGGGACAATCTTGCTTGTATTTGCTTCCCCAGAACTTAGCGCAGTGCCTGTCCTAAAGTAAACACTTTACAAATGCTCTCTCGTGAATTACTTTTTGCACACAGTAAACTAATAAACTATCATAGTATAATCATAAAACTTTAGAGCTAGGAGACTTAAGGCATACTTAAAGAATATGACTTCTTTCTTCATGAAATGGGAAGGTTTTAGGGGGAAGGAGAAAATAATGCAGAATATTGTCCTGTAATCACTGTTAAACATTTTTATTGTGCAGAATTGTAGCCTTTTACAGTACATGCAGGATAAAAAAGTGTAAAATATATCAGTAAGCATATAGTATTGTAAATGTCTTGGATCAGCAGTCCATTTTTTATTCGGGACTACAGATCTATGTGAAACAGACATCTCTTAGGATAAACAGTTTATACATTGAATCAACAAGGCTATTTCCAAAGTGATTTTCATCATACGAAGATAAAATATTTTATGTTTACATTCTTGACATGATGTGTTCTTATACTGCAAAATATCTAAAATAGTACACTTTCAGTTATGTACATAGTAAAAAAGTAAAACTCTATCCATGCCAGTGTCTGTTTTAAATGTTAAAAAAAAAAGTTAATAGGTTGGTAATTTATGTGCCAGAAAAAAAAAATGGAAGCTGCATTTGGTCAAGCAGATTTCCAATGTATATATGGGGGAAAAACTCAACCAGTATAAGTACAAATAACTCAAAAGGCAAAAGCATGCTATTAGCACTAGGAACAAAGCTTTCCACGGTACCAGGCAGCTTTCCGTACAATTCAGATTAATGGTGAGATTCCTCAGTTTGAGTTCAGAAGGAGCTGAACTTATTCCAGCAAAATTACCTTGATGTCTTGTTCCCCCTTTCCCCCTCCCCACCCTCTGCCAAAGCTTTTTGTCAGCCTTTAAGAGGCTTGTCTCTAAACACAGTAATGTTTGGATATGGGCAAAAGCTCCTGGGGTGGGGGTGAGTTGGGGTATCACAGCATAACAACGTGTTGCACATGCTTTATTTTGAAGGGGTCACATTTTGCAACACTTGACAGTCTCACATAATAGATTCCATTAAGACATCACTTCCTGATGCCTATGGATCAGCTAAAAGAGCAGAGGACAATGTCGACCTGCTAAACCACCCTTGTGATGAATTAGTTTGGACTCAGCAAAGCGTGAATATTCCTGAAAATAAACTGTGAGCTAAACAGCATGCTGACCTTGCTTGGCTGGTAAGAGACTCTAAAAGCTGGCTTCAGCCACTGACAGCTCAGAGTGGACCTGGTCTCAGTCGTCCACTTTGATTCTCTTCCTAGGACTGACCCTGACTTGACTTGATAGGAACAACTGGAGAGAAACTGCAGGATAACAGCACAGACATTACCTTAGGCAGACACTGTAGCTCAGAGTCAGAAACAGGCTAGGAGAACAACGTAATGTGATTTTCTCACTTTGATCTTCACTGAAGCTGCTGACCTTCTAATAAAAGCTGACAAATAGGCAGCATTCAAGAGGGAGATTATGAAGAAAAAAAAAAACAGGAAGGCACTTCATATGTCTCTTTCATGAGGATAATAAAATTAAGGCACAGGAAATACATAGGTCAAAATTTCAAAATCAGTATGGCAACAGTTGGGTAGCATGAATGTAGGAGATTAGCCAATTCTTGTCAACTCCATCTCTGTCTGTTGGTAGACAAAATCAGACCATTTAAGTGAACAGCTGCAGTCCACTGACAGACAGTGGACAATGGAAAAAAAGAACATTTATTAAAGACCTGCCAACATACCCTGTATATTCTGCAGTAGTAGCTTAAAACTGCCCACAATATAATGATCAACATTCTAGAGTGGGAAAGCACTTTATTTTTTATTTTGAAGTTCTTCATTATATTAATGTCAATTTCTCTTACAAGAATGAACACTCCTATCTATTTGTTTCTTAGTGGAATGATAATGCATGCATAAGGAATGAGAAAGGTTTAGGAGTTAGGGTTGGTTTAAGAAATGCAGATTGCTAAGAAGTACAAAACAGTTTCCAAGAGGGATAAATGGTAAGAATGAAAACTGAGCAAGTGATTTTTTTGTTCTGGGTCAAGATACTGATAACTTGCCATTGTACAAGCAGCTGGAAACTTGAAATTGGCACCAAGAAAATAAGAACAAAAAAGAATCAGGTGGACTTTTCTCCTTGAAATGTTATTTATATTTCCTTCTGTACGGTGATCCGGATCTTGCTGAATAGCTTGCCCACAGCCTCAAAGAGCGGGTCACAGAAGGTGTGGATGCAGATTGAATAGATCCGGCCAATACACTGGATCTCAATCAGGTAGCTCTTGATGCATGGCACAACTGCCCAGATGTGCAAGAAGGAAAGAATGGCAAAGTAAATGCCCCAGATGAGTGCCATTGGTATGCCGAAGAGTGCAGTGAGCAAGCGGTAAAACCAGTATTTTGTCACAGTGAAGGTGGTAAAGCTTGCCTTCCAGATCCCATCAAAGCTGTGTGTCCCTTCTGGTTCTGCTATCACATCTTCAAAATCAATCTAAAAAGAAGGAAGAAGTTAGTAAGTTAGATGAAAAGCCAAAAAGGAAAAGACCCCTAACACTTATAATATGTTATTCCATCAACAAATATTCAGTGCTTAGTATGCATATGGCACCACAGCTTTGGGTACTAACTTTGAGTGATAAGAAGAGTGAAAATATCATCCTTGCTCCCAAGGGCAAGGATCTAGGTAGGGGAGATGTGTTAAATAGCAATTCAAAAATATAAAACATGGTTTAAAGCAGAACTTTCTTTTTTAAAAAATTAACTTATTTTGATTTATCAACAATCACTTCCATAAGCTTTTGAGTTTTAAATTTTTCTCCCCCTCCCTCCCTACCTCCCTCCCCAAGATGGCATGCAATCTGATATAGGCTATACATATACATTCCTATTAAACATATTTTCACATTAGTGATGTTGTAAGAATTAGAACTAATAGGAGGAGCCACCAGAAAGAGGAAACAAAACAGAAGAAAAAAATAACAAATAATATGCTTCGATCTGCATTCAAACTCCATAGTTCTTTCTTTGGATGTGGATAGCATTTTCCATTATGAGGCCTTTGGAGATGTCTTAGATCCTTGTATTGCTGAGAAGGGCTAAGTCTATCAATATTAGTCATCGCACAATGTGGCTGTTACTGTGTACAACGTTCTCCAGGTTCAAAGCAGAACTTTCTTAATTGCCAAATGCATAACGATTCACTATGTGCCATAAGGGCAAAGGAAGGAGAGATCACAGAGGATGGGAATGGTGGGGACATCTGTATTGAGGTGGTAGAACTCCAGCTAGGCCTTGATGATTGAGGAGAATTTGCATAGACAAAGCCAAAGGAAAGGTCAACATGAACAGAAGCACAGAGGCAGACCTAGGACACTTGGGTTTGGGTGTAGGGTGAAGAGCGTTAATAAATAAGCAACATGGCTGGAGAGTAAAGAGAGTAATAGGAAGTTAGTCTAGAATGGCAAGTTGAAGCCAGGTTTTGAATGACAGAGAGAGACACACGCAAGTTAAACAGTTTGAAGTAGTAGGAACTGTAAGTAGCACCATGACCATAGGAATGGACAAAAGAGACTGAGAATTACAAAGGAAGACCCAACAAGACTTATTGAAAGGAGTATTGAGAGTGAAGAGTCATAAGCAACTCAAGTTTTAAGCCAGGGTGATGGAAAGATATGAAGAAGAGTCCACTTAAAATTGATATTGGTGAGGTTATGACATGCATTTATTTGTTAAACAAATATTTACTAAACTCATTATATGAAGAGCATGTATGAGAGATATAGATAGGATGTTGGATAAATGCTTACTATATGACAGACAATGATAAATCTGAGTTTCTTCTTTGAAGAGTCTTACAACCAAATAATCTGAGACTCATAAAAAGGTCCACAAATTTATATAGAACAGTAAGTCAACATCTGAGGAATACTCTTGAAATATAAATTAGACTTTCAGTAGTCTCATATATATGGGTTGGCGCATTGTAAATGCTTAATAAATGTTATTAATTTGTCATATAGATGCTTAAAGTTTTTAACAAATTGAGCTGTATTTTTTTAAAAATCACACATTTTGACTTAGTTTAATCCCTGAGAAAAAGATAGGCCAGGGGAAGCCTAAGTAGTTGGCAAAGGAAGTTATATTTAGGGGGTCCAACACTCTGCCAAGACATGGAAGCATGCTTCTCTATCTTATTTTAGGAGTTCTTAACTTCAAGTCTGGGGATAGATTTCAAGGGTTCCATGGTCTTGAATGGGAAAATTACAGCTTTATTTCAATACGCTTGGTTTCCTTTATAATCGTACACATTTTGTTTTATTCATTTGAAAGCACTTAAGGTCAACTAAAATGATCTCTCTCAAATCTATTCCTCCATACTTCAAATATCCTTTATATCTTCCTCCATTTCTTTTCCTCTCTTTAATGTCTCAGAAGAAAATATGGACTTCCTCTTTTGGAGGCTAAATTCTGTCATCTCTTTCTATGGTTTCATCTTTTCCCAACTCCTTCAAGGCCTTTTCCCCAACAATCATCCCCCCCCTTTCTTCTGAATTTCAGTTTCTCCCTCTCCTTCTTAAAAGAGGTCCATAGACTCCACCAGACTGCCAAAGTAGGGCATGACACAAAAATTTTTAAGAATGCTTGGCCTCATAAGTTGCTGCCTCCTCAGTTTCTGATGCACCTCAGTCCAAGAATGGTGAGGTTGGAAGCCTACAATGACCCCTCCCTCTTTTTTTAATGAAAAAAAGTTTGTCAGTGAAAAACTAGGACCCAGTACCCTCTCCTAGGACCTCAGAGAGGACAGTGGATTTGGGGAAAGAACCAAGAAGTCACTACAAAGCCATCTCTGAAAAGTAGTATTCTTTTAAATTTGAAAAAAAAAGATGTCACTTCTCAAATTTCCAAGTTATGTTTCCATTGCATGCTGTTATTTACTCTTTTCCTAGATGCTGAAAATTCAATTTATAAGATAAAAATGTTTATTACATGAATTGACTGAAATGGATTAATTGTAGTTTGATTTTAAAGGAGGCATTTATGTAGACCCAGACTTAGTTGTATTTATTAACACATGGCTGTTTTACAATTTCCTTAATGGACTGAGCACTGGATTTGGCATCAGACCTTCAAATCCATAAAGACTTGATACTTTCAGTCTATGCCATAATGGATAAGTAACTTAACCTTTCTGACCTTAGTTTCCTCATATATAAAATAAGAGATGGTTTGATTGTGTGACCTCTAAGCCTATTTTTATACCTAAATTACCATGAACCTGTAAATGAGCTAAATTAAATTTGATAAACATTCATTAAGCACTTATTAATTGCAAGATGCTATCCAAGATAGTGGAAATATGAAGGTGAAATATAATGGTAATTTCCTCCCTCAAAGAGTTTATAATCTAGTGAAGAAGATTAAGAAATAGACACATTTAACAATAATATAACAGCAAAAGGAAGACTGCCTTATACTTGAGGAGGCAGAGATTACTTCTAGTAGTAGGGATGAGGGAAGCTTTCATAGGAAAGGAAGCATTTAAATTGGGCTCTCAAGGAAGTACTGGAATGGAATCCACTCCAGGAAAAATCAGCAAGGTAAACAAATCAATCAATCAACCAATTGATAAACATGTATTAAGCACATACTATGTGCCAGAGCGTATGTTTGGCGCTGGCGATACAAAAAGAGGCAAAAGACAATCTCAACCCTCAAAGAACTTACGATTCTAATGGCCAAGAGTGGCAGGAAAACTGTTGGTGGGGAGGTGGGGGCCTTGGGGAGGTTGTAAACTAGTGAGTGATTTAGTTTAATTGCAACATATAGTATGTAAAAAAGAAATCAGGAGTGAGCTAGAACTAGAAAGGATAGAGAGTGGAGGGCCTTGAATGCCAGAATAAGAAATTTATACTTTATTTGGTAAGCAGTGGGGAGCCATGGAAGATTTTTTTGTTTTTTTAACAAAGAATCAACGTATAAAGGCAATGGATTAGGGCATTTGAGTAGCAGAGGAGATCTTTAAACAAAGTCTCTAAGGAGAAATTGTGCTTCAGGTAAGGGTTAGAGTAGATGACTTCTGAGATCCCTTCCAACTCAAAGATGTTACTATTTTAGACACTGGGAAAGATGAATAAAGCATAGTCCCCACACTCAGAAGAAAACAGATTAACCTATTTTTAAGAAGCTTTTTTCTTTTTTAGAACAATGGAAAGAATGCTGAGTTTTGAGTCAGAGGATAAGGGTACAGATCCTAGCTCTGCCACTTATTACCCTTGTGATCAGACTTCATAAAGTCCCTGTCATCTTACTTCACATTTTGGGAATCAGTTTTCTCTTCTGTAAAGCAGGTGAATTGAATAAGCTGAGCTCTGAATCCCCTTCAGCTCTATTATCCTATGAACTGTTTTGTGGTTTCCAATAGCCAAAGAATTCATCACCTTGTAAGCAAACTTTAGGTGATATGCCTCTTTGTACTTAATCATACTAATTCTTGGGTGGGAGACACTGAATGGTATTCAAAGCCCTTCTGAGTTTGATCTAATCTGTTAGAGCTGTCATAACATTAGGGTAGCACTTTTCTGGAGCTATAATCTTAGTGGGTCACTTAAAGTGACTCCACATAATTCAGGTAGTCAGAAAGAAAATATAATTTTTTTTGGTAAACAATCAACAAGTTTTAGTAAGCTCTCACTAGGTGCCAGGGATATAGAAGAAGGCAAAAATACTGTCCTTGACCTGAAGGCACTTAAAATGCTAATGGAGAAGACAATATGCTAATTACTGTGTATGCTATGTCATGGATCAAGTCTCTGAAGCAGTAGATGTCAATAGGGATATGAGAAGTGAAAATAAAGCAATGTAGCTGGTCTCTTTAAATATATGTACCAGAACTTATGCAACCAAATTAGTGTTTTACTTCCATTATAGAAGGCTATATACTTCTTCCAATAATAGTTCCATTAGTTTAAGGATTTAGTGAACTCCCCTTTCGAAAAAGCTGGACAAACCAATCAGACCAAGTCAATCTGACTTCTTTGTCAGACCTCACATTTGCCCAAAAAAGAGTATGACCCACAGGAGAACACTGTACACAGTAACAGCCACATTGTGTGATGACTAACTTGGATAGACTTAGCTCTTCTCAGCAATACAAGGATCTAAGACTTATGATGGAAAATGCTGTCCACATCCAGAGAATGAACTATGGAGTCTGAATGCAGATCAAAGCATACTATTTGCGCTCTCTCTCTCTCTCTCTCTTTTCTGTCTTGTTTCTTCTTTCTTGTGGTTCCTCCCATTGTTCTAACTCTTCTTTACAAAATGACTAATGTGAAAATATGTGTAGTAAGAATGTATATGTAGAGCCTATATCAGATTGCATGCTGTCTTGGAGAGGGGCAAGGGGAGGGAGGCAGAGAAAATTTAAAACTCAAAAACTTATGGAAGTGGATGTGGAAAACTAAAAATAAATTAATTAATTTAAAAAAAGAG